ACTTCCTATAACATCACTGGTCTGACTGCTGGAGTCAGTTACACATTCTGCATCACTGCTGTGGCAGCAGATAAATCAACAGAAGGAGAAACTGTCTGCATCTCACAATTCACTAGTATGTAGAATTAAAAAATGTCTTTCTTGCTATATAGTAGTGACTATGTAAAACTATAAAATGTCTGTTTTTTGCTACAAAGTATGTTATAAGAATGATTCACATTTACTCCTGTGTGTATTTATATTTCACTTGTATCCTGATTGTTAAAAACAGAAAAAAAGAAAAGAAAAAAGAAAAACTTGACATCTGTGAATCTCCATACAAAGCTCACGTTAAAGTAGTAGTTAAAATACTGCCTTCCCCCTTGTCAGTCTATTGTTCGTTAATTTGGCCCACCAGTTCACGTTTCATCCTTTAAGTGTTTCTACTTTGCTTGTGTCTTGTGGTTTTTTCAAATCATCAATTATGACTTCACTGTAAAAAAAAAAAATCCGTAAAATTTACGGTAAATAAACGGCAGCTGTGGTTGCCAGAATTTTACCGTAAAAATACGGTAGCAGCGTTTTAGGTTTTACGGTTTTAACAAATTTACAGTTAAATACCATAATTTCATTAACTGATATAATGTTAATATACCAACCCACTGAAGTACTGAAATCTGTTTTGTACCTTTGTAATACACTGCACCAAAAGCAGGTGGTCATGAGAAAATCACATGATAAACCAAAGCATATCACAAGCAGCTTTTAAATATTAACATATATAGAAGGTGCACAATGTTAATCACACAAACACTAAACACCATCATGGTAACACACATGAAAATGAAATAATGCAATAAATATTAATTGAACAACATTAGATGTAACATACATCCCTAATGTACACAACTGATAAGAACATAACTAAGAAGAAACATAGTTATCTCAAAAAAAAAAACAAAAAAAAACATCAAATTTGAAATGTAACGCAGGGAATTCTGGGAATGTCAATTTACGGCTATTCACTGTAAATTATACAATCTTTTTCACTTCCAAAAACGGTATACTACCGTAAAATTACATGTACTGCCCAATACAGTTTTTCACCGTATATAGAAGGGGAACTTACTGTTAACCATTTAACGGGTTTTTATTGTAGCTTTTTTACCGTTAAATTCACTGTCATTTTTACAGTGTTGCTTCTTTCTCCTAAACACAGAGCCAGATGTGATCAGGAATCTCAGAGTAACCAATTTCACAACATCATCTGTGTTTCTGACATGGGATGAACCAATTGGAAATAGATCTTTCTTCAAAGTTCAATGGGCTGATGATAAAACAGATGCAACTTATAACACTTCCTATAACATCACTGGTCTGACTGCTGGAGTCAATTACACATTCTGCATCACTGCTGTGGCAGCAGATCAATCAACAGAAGGAGACACTGTCTGCATCTCACAATTCACAAGTATGTAGAATTTAAAAAAATCTAATTTTCTTGCTATATACAGCAGTAGTAACTATGTAAAACTATAAAATGTCTGTTTTGTGCTACAAAGTATAAGAATGATTCACATTTCCCCATTGTATGTATTTATATTTCACTTGTGTTCTGATTGTTAAAAAAAGAAAAGAAAAGAAACAAAAAACTCAACATTTGTGAATCCCTACACAGAACCAGATGTGATCAGGAATCTCAGAGTGACCAATTTCACAACATCATCTGTGTTTCTGAGATGGGATGAACCAGTTGGAAATAGATCTTTCTTTAAACTTCACCGGACTGATGATAAAACAAATAAAACTACTACTAATACTTCCTATAACATCACTTATTGTACTAACCCTAAACCTACCCTAACAGTCTACTCTGAGAGTTAGTAGACATGTAGTTGCAAATTAATGAGAATTAGTTGACATGTAGTTGACATGTAGTTACAAAGTTACTTATAGTTAGTAGAATGTCTAAAGTGGACTGTCGAAATAAAGTGTAACCCAAGATACTGCCTTCCCCCTTGTCAGTCTATTGTTTGTTATTTGGCCCACCAGTTCACGTTTCATCCTTTATGTATTTCTACTTTGCTTGTGTCTTGTGTGATGGTTTTTTCAAATCAACAATTATGACTCGCTTCTTTCTCCGAAACACAGAGCCAGATGTGATCAGGAACCTCAGAGTGACCAATTTCACAACATCATCTGTGTTTCTGAGATGGGATGAACCAATTGGACATAGATCTTTCTTTAAACTTCACCGGACTGATGATAAAACAAATAAAACTACTACTAACACTTCCTATAACATCACTGGTCTGACTGCTGGAGTCAGTTACACATTCTGCATCACTGCTGTGGCAGCAGATCAATCAACAGAAGGAGACACTGTCTGCATCTCACAATTCACAAGTATGTAGAATTATAAAATCGGATTTTCTTGCTATATAGTAGTGACTATATGTAAAACTATAAAATATCTGTTTTGTGCTACAAAGTATGTTATAAGAATAATGCCTTCCCTCTTTTTAGTCAATTGTTAGTTAATCTGGCCCACCAGTCGACATTTCCCCCATATGTATGTATATTTCACTTTTGTCCTGATTGTAAAAAAAAAAAATTGCTCTTCTCTCCCCAAACAGAGCCAAATATGATCATAAATCTAACAGTGTCTGAAATCACACCATCATCTGTGTTTCTGACATGGGAAGAACCAGTTGGATATAGATCTTTCTTTCAAATTCAGTGGACGGGTGATAAAACAAACAGAAGTTCAACAACTAGTAACACTTCTTATCACATCACTGATCTGACCGCTGGAGTCAGTTACACATTTATCATCACAGCTGTTGCAGCAGATCAATCAACAGAAGGAGAATCAGTGGTTACCTCAAAATATACTAGTATGTTTTCCAATTAAATGTTTCCTGATTTTTCTAGCCAGATACTCATATTATTGACTGATTCCTTTCAAATATATATAAATCTTCACTACATTAGGATTTCAGGAGTCACGTTTTAATTCCCAAATGTCTGTTATTTTTCACTCACAGAGCCTGACGTCATAATGAACCTCACAGCTGATGATATTACAACATCCTCTGTCTTACTAAACTGGACTAAACCGAATGGTCAAAGCTCCCGTTATCGTGTAGAATATGAAGATAAGAATGTGATCACTGAAAACACCTCCATCAAAATAAATGATCTGATTCCTGGAGCGCAGTACACATTCAGAGTGTTTGCAGTTGCAGCTGATCATGTGACCGAGGGAAGAGCCAATCAGATTTCACTGTATACCAGTAAGAGCTCTGATTGGATGTTTAATCTGAGATAATCTGCGGAATCTTCATCCTTGAAACCAGCTCATATTTACTTGCATTGAGCAGAAAACTACAGCAACATCTCACTGAGTTCTGGCCTTATTACAATTATTTGATCAATTCATAATTGCACAACTCATACTTACTCATATTTACAGTCATACTTTATTTAATTCCCCTTGCATCAACATGTATGAATTGCTCTTCTCTCCCCACACAGAGCCAGGTGTGATCAGGATTCTCAAAATTACTGAAATCACAACATCATCAGTGTTTCTAAAATGGAATGAAACAGTTGGAAGTAGATCTTTCTTTAACCTTAATTGGAGTGATGGTAAAACATCCAACCATACAATAACCAATAACACATGGTATAACATCACTGGTCTGACTGCTGGAGTCAATTACACATTCTACATCACTGCTGTGGCAGCCGACAATTCAACAGAAGGAGAAACTTTCTGTATCTCAAACTATACCAGTATGTAAAACGATAAATTATCTGTTCTTTGCTAAATAGACTGTTTAAACAAACTGACCCAAATTTTTTCTACTAATATAATTTTATCAGTATCTACTTGTTTTAATGTGAGGAACCTAAAACATATGTGTTCGGTCACACTTTAGGGACCAATTCCCACCATTAACTACGACTTTTGCCTCAATAAACTCCTCTAATTTGCTGCTTACTAATAGTTATTAAGGTAGTTGTTAAGTTTAGGTGTGGGGTAGGATTAAAGGATCCAAAATGTGGTCATGAAGAATAAGGCTTTAATATGTGCACTAATAAACAGCCAATATGCTAGTGATATGCATGTTAATAAGCAACTACTTAAACGTGAGAATTCGTCCCTAAACTAAAGTGCTATCGCATGTTCTTAGTTGTACACACTGAATATGTTTTTATTGCCATAACCTATTAATCCTCAGCTTTGTCAGCATCTCATTTTTGGACGGAAAATTGTACAGTGTACATTTGATTCTCACAAATTCTGGTGTAACTACATATACCATGTAATTGTATAATTATAATTCCCACTTTCACCAACTCATTTATTTTTCTTTGCCCCACACAGAGCCAGATGTGATCAAGAAACTCAGAGTGACTGATGTCACAAAATCTTCTGTGTATCTGACATGGAATGAACCAGCTGGAAATAGAGATTTTTTTAGAATTCAATGGAGTGAGAAAAGGAAGTATGTAACAACTAATAACACTTCCTATCACATCAATGATCTGACTGCTGGAGTCAATTACACATTCTGCATCACTGCTGTGGCAGCAGATCAATCAACAGAAGGAGACATTTTATGCATCTCACAATTTACCAGTATGTAAAATGATCAAATATCTGTCCTCTTCCCCTTTGTGCAAATCTTGTACAAAACTCCCAAAGTAACTTTTAATATAATGTTGTGACTCTCAATGTCACTAACTCCATCAGAAAATTACATAATACCCATAATGTGTTTTTTAAGGATAATCTATTGCATCTCAGTGTATCATCTTTTCATTAAGTGATCTGGATAATATAATAAACAAGGTTTTATTCTGAAAAAAACCTTAAAATACTTTATTGCTTTTTCTTCACCGGAAACGTGTTTAATTATATTATGTAATAATTCTCATGTAGATTCCCCTGAGTCTAACATTCCACTGATTGTTGGCGTAGTTTTGGCAGTGCTCTGTTTTCTCTTCATCATCACTCTCATTCTCTTCTTCTATTCAAAAAGGTGAGTTGCCAGTGTCATCAGAGAAGTAAATACTGGATATATTTCAAGATACAAAAGTCTTTCAGATTCATTTTAGTAACATTTCTTTATTACTCCCTGTTATAGACAAACCAAAAAACAATGTCCCGACATCCCTGTACACAACATTAGGTAACTTTGTTTGAGATGTTTACAGTTAAAAATTTTCTTTGACAAAACTTAAAATTGTTAATGCATGAATGTTTCCTTCTATTTCCAGCAATAAAATGTAAGTAACTGTTTTATTATTAATCTATTCATTTTTAATGTTGAAACATGATTTTTTTACGCTTTATTGTATATTTGTTACGTGTTTTTTTTTATGGTACACAGTAATATTGCTTTGAGAATAGAGGATTATGAAGAGTACTTTAAGCAGAAACATGCAGATTCCAACTGTGGTTTTGCTGAAGAGTATGAGGTACACATGAGAAACACAAATATGTATTTTTTTTTTAATTTACACACTTCTTCCTATGACAATATTATCAAACAGTTTTACTCTGGACTTGTCACAGAAATTCATTTAGAAATGAGTGTTTTCAAAATCTAGATCTAAAGAAGTGCTGTGTTGTTGCAGGAGTTGAAAACTGTTGGAACGGCACAGTCCAAAAACACTGCCCTGGCTATTGAAAACAAGCCGAAGAACCGTTACAGCAATGTGCTACCTTGTGAGTAGACTGACTGTTGCACTAAAAGGTGGCATGAGTTTTCCCCAATCACAGGCTTCAATCTCTAGCTGACTGATAGATTGTACCCAGACTATTCACACTGAAGTCACATTGCACAAAGCCAGATACATTTTCAGTTCATTTCCTAAGGCGCAGAGCCAAAACACAACCAAAATAATGTTCTCCTGCAAGATGCATAGTTTATTTTGTTAACCGCTAGAGGGCCAAAAGTTGCATGCTGTAGGTTTAAAGAAATAAACAAAAATGAAGAACAGAGAATACATTCAATGTAGACTCAGGATTATGATTATCTAAACTAGACACAGGTGATAACAATCAGAAATCAAGAAAAATAAGAAATGAATGAACAGGAAATGTATACAGACAATATGTGAAAAAAATGATCAAAATTTAAAAAAAAGTGCTTGGAGTATAACAGAACATGATAGGTATGACGCTTAGTGTTGGGAAGGTTATTTTGGAAATGTAATAGGTTACAGATTACAAGTTACCATATTTAAAATGTAATAAGTAGTGTAACTGTTTCAATTACTTTATTAAAGTAATGTAACTGATTACATTTGATTACTTTTTGATTACTTTTCTAAATTTCTAAATACGATTGATATTCAAACTATATTCATTAAGATGTGAATGAATTTTTTTTTTTTACTATATAGCTACTCTTTTTAAGGTATCATTTTTATTCTATTTACTTTCTGGATCATTCTCTTAGGATCTCCTCCCTTCTGCGTGGATCCCTGTTAATTTTCTGTCCATATTTCTCTTCCACTAATTTCTCTCCCTCAATTCTCTCTGTCTCAAAAACAAAGCATCACATTTTATACTTATTTTCATGACACTTTATAACAGTACAAGTTTTCTGTAAAAACATCAGAAAATAGTTTAATGAATGTAATTATTGCATTTAAGTACATTGAAAATTATCAAAAAAGAATAAAAAGGAGTTAAACAAATCTTATTTAATTATTTAAAATGCTTTTTAAACAGACCTTGTCATCTGGTGTGACTGTACAGGCGTCACACCAGAGGACATTATCTGTCACACCAAAGGACGTTTCAGCCTTCTGTCAATTAATGACCTTGCTATTCCGAGCTAACCTGTCATTAGCGGTAAGCAAGACACATTTGCAGAATTTTCCATAATTATGTAGTTTAACATGCAGTTTTTAATTAAAAAATATATAATTTAGGGGTGTCACACCAAAGGACAACAAAAGTAACACTTTTGTAGTGGTTCCAAAAAAGTTAAATATTTGCACAATTATGAGACAAAAATTTACCATGTGCACATCATCATCAAGTTCCTATGTTTTCAGAAATGTATGGATGAAAGAAATGATTGCCATTTACTAAAATAGACACTTGTACAATTATGCCGGAGGTATCTATTAAAATTTTTATGCTTTTCTTTTTCATTTATAAAAGTTACACCATAGGACAAAAGTCGGTGATGACCGACGAATTGGGATCTCGCCAGAGAGACCAATCCACTTCGAGTGTAAACTAAACTAGCCAATGCACATTGGCATGCGATTATTGCATCCAGCTGCCGCTGATCACAGCGTGAGTATAAGAGGCAGCAGGTGCACCGCATTCATTCATGCTTTCGCTGAGGAGCCGAGCCGGTGACCCGGCAGCTCAGCGGTGGAACAGCAACTGTGGCGACACACTGCGGAGTCACCTCCTCCCAGAGGGGGTTAAGTGACATTTACTCACGTGGAGTAACCCTGAGGGGCCCCTACTGCACATGGAAGTCTCTGAGATGGCTCATGGCTGCTTCATTTAGAGATGACAGAACGTGGTCTGGCAGGGGAAACACGGCCCTAGTAATTGTACCGTGGAAATATGAGCGGGCAGGGCACACCTTGTGCTCCATAGGCCAAGGTGATGGCATCCACTATCCAGTGGGCCATCCTCTGCTTGGAGACAGTCTTCCCCTTCTGCTGTCCACCGTAACAGACAAAGAGCTGTTCTGAGGTCCTAAAGCTCTGAGTTCTATCTACGTACTGTCGCAGAGTGCGTACAGGATAGAGCAAAGCTAGGGCTGGGTCTGCCTCCTCCAGGGGCAGGGAGTGGTAGGAGCCTTGGGCACATAGCCGGGCCGGGGTCTCAGTGTTGCACTGGAATCAGCCGGCCCAAACTGAAGGCACGATTCGTCGACCAAAAATGCCTGCAGGTCCCCCACCCTCTTGATTGAGGCCAATGCAGTCAGGAGCAGGGTTTTCATAGAAAGAAACTTCAACTCGACTGACTGCAAAGGCTCGAAAGTGGCAGCTTGTAGGGCTCTTAGCACCAATGCCAAATCCCAAGAGGGCAGAGAGGGAGGCCTCGAAGGATTTAACCTCCTGGCCCCCCTAAGAAACCTGACGAGCAGATCATGCTTCCCCACTGACCTCCCATCTATGCGGTTGTGATGGGCCGAAATAGCAGCAAAGTAAACCTTAAGGGTGGAGGGGGACAGCCTACGCTACAACCCTTACTGCAAGAAGGAAAGCACGGCTCTGATCGAACATTTCCGGGGGTCATCCTGGTGGGAGGGGCTGTCACGAGGAGCATGAGTTCCGGGAACCAGGTCCTGTTGAGCCAATGTGGAGCCACTAACAAGACCTGCTCCTTGTCCTCCCTGATCTTGCACAGTGTCTGTGCAAGCAGGCTCACTGTGGGGCACGCATATTTGCACAGGCCCCGGGGCCAGCTGTGTGCCAGTGCGTCCGTACCAAGCATGAGGCGGCTCAGGGCAAGGCGTACTGCTAGCAACTCGAGGCAATTAATATGCCAACGCAGTTGGGGACCCGTGAAAACCCATAAAACCCCTGAGACTGCGTACCCGTTGTACGTGGCCCCCCAGCAGGTGGCCGAGGCATCCGTGAATACCACAGCATGCCTGGATACCTGTTTCATGGGCACTCCTGCCCGAAGAAATGAGGGATCTGACCACAGGCTGAAGGTTCTGCAGCAGGCCGGTGTAATCTGAACCCGGTGAGTACCGCGTCGCCACGCCCACCTCGGGACTCGGTCATGGAGCCAGTGCTGAAGCGGTCTCATAAGCATTTTCCTGGGTGAGGCGTGCTGTCTGGCTGACCGAATCCAACTCCATGCCGAGAAAAGAGATCCACTGCATTGACACAAGTTTGCTCTTTTCCCAGTTGACCCAAAGACCCAACGGGCTGAGGTGTCTGAGCACCAGGTCCCTGTGTGTGCACAACTGATCGCGAGACTGTGTGAGTATGAGCCAGATGAGTGAGATAGTTGAGAATGTGCACCCACCGTTCTCTCAAAGGAACAAGGGCTGCCTCCACTACTTTGGTGAAGACGCGAGGCGACAGGGACAGCCTGAAGGGCAGGACCTTGTACTGATATGCCCGACCCTCGAACGCGAACCGCAGGAATGGCCTGTGCCGCGGGAGGATCGAGACATGAAAGTACGCGTCCTTCAGGTCGATCGCTGCAAACCAATCTTGGGGACGGATGCACTCGAAAATGCGTTTCTGCGTCAACATCTTGAACGCACGGTTCAAAACTCGCAGATCCAAGATAGGTCATAACCCACCGCTTTTCTTGGGCACAATGAAGTAAGGGCTGTAAAACCCCGACCTCATATCGGCTGAAGGGACTCTATCGCGTCCTTCGCCAGCAGGACTGCAATTTCCACACGCAAGACAGGGGCATCGACAGCCTTGACTGAAGTGAACCGGATGCCCCTGAACTTGGGGGGACGCCGGGCGAACTGAATCGCATAGCCGAGTCTGATGGTCCGCAGGAGCCACCGAGACGGACTGGGGAGCGCTAACCAGGCTCCGAGAGACCGTGCCAGAGGAACCAACGGAGCCACCGACGTACCCACAGTGGGGCAGTGTGGTGGAACACAGGGACTCGACCCGAGGCCTGTGACGGCCTGGCCTGTGGCAGAGGGCGGAGTCTGGGTGTGAAGTGTAACACTCACCTGGTTCCTCCGTGTGCGGGAGAAAACACAGGGTCCTGGTTTGAGGCTTGTGACAGCCCGGTGTGTGACGACATGAAGCGGGGACTTGAATGCTACAGTCCCTACCTGGTTTCACGAATGGGCAGGAGGGGTGCTCTTGGGCAACCCACTTATGCCCGCTGACGAGAGAGGAGGGGGGAAGTGACCCTGTGATGCAAAGTTCACAACTCTCCTCCTCTTTCATTCAGCTCAGTTCAGTTTAAATAGTATCTTTGCAATCATTTGCAATCAAGTCAACAATATCGCTGGAAATGAAGTGTCCCCAACTAAGCAAGCCAGAGGCGACAGTGGCAAGGAACCAAAACTCCATCGGTGACAGAATGGCTGCTGGGCCAGCAGCGGAACAAAAACAAAACTAATCAAAAAGATTCTCCACCCGGCCCTCCTCCAGGGGAGGGAGTGGTGTGGTCACCATCTCCCGACGAGCAGTCTCCTCCATCTCCGGGTCGCCCATCTCAGGGCCTCTTGCACTTGTGCTTACCGCCAGGTTTGGCAGGGGCTTGGACAGGCTGGGCACCCTGCCTGCGACCGGCTCCACGATGCTGCCTGGTGGAAGGCTGCTGCTGCTGCTGCGTGGGAGTGGGGGCAGCCGCAGGGGGGCGCCCACGGCGATGAGCAGGCTGAGGGGCTGCAGCCCGGACGGAAGCAGCAGGTTTCCTCCGGTGCAGGATGTGTTTGATCGCCTCCGTCTACTTCTGTGCTGCTTAAAACTGCTGGGCGAAGCACTCGACAGCGTCGCCAAAAAGGCCGGTCTGAGACACGGGGGCATTCAGGAATTGTACTTTCTCATGCTCCTTCATGTCGGCCAGACACAGCCAGAGATGGCGCTCCTGGACCACTAACGTGGACATTGCACCACCCAGGGACTGTGCGGTCACCTTTGTCGCTCGAAGCACGTGGTCTGTCGCAGCACGCAGCTCATGTAGGACTGCCCGGTCGTGACCACCCTCGTGCAGGTCTTTCAGGGCTTTGGCCTTCTGCAGTAACGCCATGGCGTGGAGGGCGGAAGCTGCCTCCCCACAAGCTCTGTAAGCACTGTCAGTTAAACCTGACGAATACTTACAGGCCCGTGAGAGGAGACATGGATCACCCCGCAAAGTGGTAGCGGCCGTCGGACACAGTTGCATCGCCACCGACCGCTCCACCGAGGGAATGCCCGTGTACCCCAAAGCGGCTCCATCATCATGGGTGGTGAGAGCGGAGGAGCTACAAGATTTGTTTCAGGCAGTAAAAGGTGCCTTCCACGATCTTGTGAGCTCCTCATGCACCTCCGGGAAGAATGGCACCGGAGGGGGGCGCTGAGAACCAGCGCGACCTCCACCAAGAAACCGCTCATCCAGCCTCGAAGGATCGGGACATGGTGGAGGATTCCACACGAGTCCGACATTCTCGGTGGCCCGGGAAAGCATAGCCGTCATCTCTGGGTCTGGCTCGGACAATGCTGTCACACCTGAAGGGGGCAACGCAGCCGAGTCGTCATCCCCAGAGAGAGAGAGCTCGCCCTCCGATTCAGCGATTGACATCTGGTCTCGAGGGGGCAAACCGAAGGAAACGACCGGCTCCCTCCACTTTGTAGAGGGGCCAACACGTCCCTCCGGCCGCTCCACCGGCTGCGGAGTGCTTGAGGGGTGACGAACTCCCTCTGGGGAAGCCGTCACTGGGATCCTCAAATCACCTCTGACTCCGCCGGACACAGCGCCGCCCCGACTGTCGAGACGAACACTGGATCGCGGCAGAGGGACCCCGCCACGTTTGACATAACAGAGTCTTTCATGCAACTCCGAGATGGTCATGTCCCCACAAGTGAAACATGCACCATCCACGAACGCTTGCTCAGCATGCTCAATGGCCAGACACGTGAGACAGCGATCGTGACCATCCCGAGGCGCCAGATAGCGACCGCACCCAGAAACGCACGGGTGATAAGACATCTTTAAAAAGACGCGATCACCCGTGTTGCTCTTTTAGAGAAATGTTCTTTTTGTGCTGAAGCACGCAGGAGAGCTGGCCACCACACACTCCTGGTGTAGCTGTCTGCACGAAGATGATTTCTGTTCTCGCTGTGCGACCGTGACCACCGCTGCCGTGCCGTAACGCCCGCACTCGTAAGTGATGCACTACCGCTCGGCTCCGAAGCGAAAGAATGAATGAATGCAGTGCACCTGCTGCCTCTTATACTTACGCTGTGATCAGCGGCAGCTGGATGCAATAATCGCATGCCAATGTGCATTAGCTCATTTAGTTTACACTCGAAGTGGATTGGCCTCTCTAGTGAGATCCCAATTCGTTGGTCATCACCGACGTGATGTCAAAAGAGACCGACTGAAAGGGAACAACAGGTCCATGTAAGACAAAGAAATGTTTAATGATTTACTGAATTTTAAATAACGACAATATTAATTATATTCATTTTTGTCTTGTGGGACAGTGAAAATGCCATGTCACGTCAAGAACCCAATTAAATTACGTAATTTAGGTACATGTAAATAGTTACTTCCCAACTCTGATGACGCTACAATGCAACCTTATAACCTTATATAAAATCAGATGCATAATTTTGAGTTCTTAATTAATAACTACTTTCTAATACTAATTGTATGTTTGCCTTCAACAGATGATGCTTCAAGAGTGAAGTTATCAATGTGTGGCAGTCCCTTTGATGACTACATCAATGCCAACTACATCCCAGTAAGCATATAAACAGAAGTGAAAATTTCGGAATCGTTTTTTTTGTTTTTTTTTTGGTTATGTCTAAGCATGTTTTTCACTCTTCTTTCGTTCTCTTTTTTTTTTTTTTGAACAGGGCTATAATTCAAGAAAAGAGTTTATAGCAGCTCAGGGTCCACTGCCCGTCACAGTGAATGAATTCTGGAGAATGGTCTGGGAGAAGAATGTCTTCACCATAGTGATGCTGACCAAATGCAACGAGATGGGACGAGTAAGTTTTCATTGTGAAATATTATTATTTGGCATTTTTATGCCTTTATTTCGATAGGACAGTAGTTAGACAGGAAGCAAAGTGGGGGAGAGATAGAGGAATGGATCACGAAAGGTCCCCATCTCAGGACTCGAACTCGGGATGCCCAAAGCACAATGGCACTACATGTTGGCGTGCTGCCTATGAGGCTATCACCACCGACCATCGTGACATATTATTAGTCACATTGAAAAGTGGTAAAATGTGAAAATGTATACTCGGAGTAAAGATAACCAGCACTCTGTCATTTTCTCCAGGTGAAATGTGAGAAGTACTGGCCATCAGGGACTAATCATTATCAAAACATCTCTGTGACAACCACCTCAGAGATAGAACTGGAGAGTTGGACCATAAGAGACTTCAGAATCAAAAATGTAAAGCAACACTTCCTGTACCTGATATCTCCATTTATTCCTTCAGTAGTATATAAGAGTGGATTTTGTTGTTGTTGTTGTTTTTAAATCTTTTATTGTAATATTTTACAATAATATGATGGATAATTCTGTAGGTGAAAACAGCAGAAACTCGCTACGTACGTCAGTTCCACTTCACGGCGTGGCCGGATCATGGAGTTCCACAGACCACTGAAGTCCTCATTGACTTCAGACACCTGGTCAGAGAACACATGGACCAGTACTCACGCCACTCTCCAACTGTGGTGCATTGCAGGTAAGTTCCTATTAACAAGCATTCACAAATTTACATTACAATGCAAACATTAAATTTCAAATTTGCCATTTGTTAGTTTAAACTTTTATTTTATTATTTGACCTTCACACTTTTTTAGTGCCGGTGTGGGAAGAACAGGGACCTTCATTGCCATTGACCACCTGATCTTCCAGATTGAAAGAAACAGCATGGTGGACATCTACGGAATTGTTAATGATATGCGCATGCACAGGCCTCTCATGGTGCAGACTGAGGTAAGGTTTTCTGGGGATCAGTACAAGTTAAGCTTGTACCTCCTTTAAAAAAATGGCGGTTACAGTGAGGCACTTACAACGAAAGTAAGTGCAGCCAGCTTTTAGAGCAGAAATGCGAGGCTTATAATTTTGTAAAAGCACTTACTGTAAGAAAGCAGACTGAGCCAGATGATTCTTTATTGAACACATGGGTAAACAACAGGTGGAGCAGGAATGGCAGTAGAAATCAGACACAGATGTAGAAGATGACACAATGATAATGCAGTTGGTAATGATGGTGATAAAGGCATAATGATCACAGAGGAACCATGAGGGAGTCATGAAGAGAACACTACTGAAGGGTAGTGCAATCAGAGAGTCCTCTATGTACTGTAAGACTAGACAATGAGGGTATGTGATGAGTATATATGGAGTCCTTGATGACCAGAGTGGAGAGGGGGCGCTCTGGTTGACCATGTCCCTGAGGAGCTGGATGGTTGGGATGATTGTAGTGGAACATGGTGAGTAGGGATGGTCCAGAATGTCACCTCGAGTGATCTACAGCGTTGGTCTGGGATGGTCCACAGATATGGGCCAATGTATTGAGGAAACTACTTTCTGCATGGAAGACAGAGGGCCTTATCATACACTAGACGCAATGCGATGCCAGGCACGACGCAAGTGTTTTGCTATTTTCAGCCCGATGCAGTTATCATTTTCATGTCCAGCGCCACATTGTTTAAAGAGCAAATGCACTTGCACCCATCTGTTTGCCCATGGGCGTACTGGTCTGAAAACGAGATGTGTTCAGGCACATTGTTAGTGCACTGCTATTTTAAAGCAACTGAAACGATTACGCCATTGTCAATGGCGCAGTATTTTTTTGTTGTTTATTTAAAGGGTGCGTTAGTAATGTGCGCCTATAGGTGGGTGCACAATGCGTGTATACTCTGCTTATTATACACACAGGGACAAGCAGCAGCACACATACATGCCAAATATGAAAAATTAAAGGATTACAATGTAAAAGATTATTATTGTGTAGGCTACATAAACACCTA